CCTTGATAAATCTTTGATTTCTTTTAATTAATTTTTTATGCTCATTTGTGAATCTAATTCTTGTCTTTGGCTAAGTTTAAATCTTGATTTCGATGTCCCATCTCTTGAGTAATTGACTGGCCTGAACATTGACTGTGTGTATTGCTATTGATACTTGAGGTTCATCTCCGAGTCCCCCGGTTGCTTACTCTCTGATTTCAAAGGAAGGATCCCTTGTTGACTGCCACGTCATACTTAACCAAACTTTAGATCCTTACACTTTATCCTAACCATAGGACTTGGAGTCGTCGTGCTCTATTTAGTCGTCCTGCCGTAGACATTCCCTTCCTTGCTAACTTAAACTTAGTTTAGAGTCGCCGCACTTTATGTAGGTGTCTCACCACAGAAATTTACTTTTTTCTTTGGAATCTTGACCACGATTAAGAGTTCCTCACCCCCATTGAGGGGAACTACAGTTGCTCTGATTCCATTCCCATCAAGATACGTAGGCACGAGATACAATGTCTTGGCGAACAAACTTTGTACATACTTTGTATATACTTTAGATCTTAACCTTAGCACTTTTCCCTTAGCAAGCAACTTTGGTATAACACAAATACTAACAAGAGATTACTGTAGAGTACTACAGATACTTAGGATGCTAAAACCTTCCCTAGGGATAAATCAAAGCTGTGTTGTTACATAGCGTACTTAGGGTTTTCTTCGATCTTTACCCTTTCCTTTGGATAAATCAAAGCTCGGTGGTGAATTTCATGATTTGTGATTCAAGTTAATACAATAGCTTGATATCCGATTCTCACCGTAATAGAAAGGATGACGCCAACGTCATGGAGATACGGGAAAACCGATGCTTGAAGTTTAGTGCTTATGACTAATTTTAAATTTCTCAAAATTTCAAATGTTTGTAACTTGCAGATAAATTGTATTGTACCTTTATACTTAGAATAAAGAGTGTAAAAATCCTCGTTGGATATAGCGTGAACTTTCAAAGTCTAAATATTTGAATCCTTGAGCAAAACATAATTGTAAGAAAATGGTGTTGTGAACTTTGTTTAGAATTTTAAACACATAAGTCCATAATCTTGATCATACATCTAAAAAAACAAATTGGATTTGGCCATTGAACCACTGTATGGATATAACTTGAATGGAACTTGGAATTAAACTTAAACTTTGGCTTAATTAAGGGAAGCATGACCTTCTTAACTTTCGAATTGAAAATTTGATGAGATTTGGTTTCTCTCGAGGTTGAAAGAACTAAATAAGAAAGAAGTGGTCATTGCCTTGATTTTTTTTTGTATTTTGGATATTTTGAACTGAGAATCTTAAAACTTGAAGCTTGAATCTTATGATGACTTAAATTTTGAACTTTGAATATTATTGTACGCAAGTGCATATTGCACTTCCATTCGACTTGTAAACTTGAGAATCCAAATGGCATAATACTTGAACTTTTTGAAGTTAATTGTATTTGAAGTTCCTTGAATTTTTCTTGAATAAATTTGAATACTTTGAGTCTTGGAATAGCATCTTGGTTTGAATTCAGATTTGTCGCTAAAACTTGATGAAACCAAATGAGAAACTCCTTGTGCTTTGAATCACAACTGAGTTTTGTACCTCAGACAACTTCAAGATTAGAACTTGCATTTCATACCCGCCACTTTTCACTAATTCATAAATTCAACATCTTTTTAAGGCAACAATGATCATTGAATAAACTTCAATTTGATCACAATTCAACCACTTTCTTCTCGACAGATTCATAGAAGACATTTTGCTGCAACTTCAAGTAACCTTTAGACCATGCTACACTTTGTCACACGAACTAAGGCTTGGGGCTTTGGAAATGAGAACACCACTTGTAATTCAGCAAACCATCCAATTATATCCAGTTCTCGAACAAACAACCTTGAAACCGGTGGGTAGGAAAACTGTATTCTCCTTAAGACATTGCTTAGCAGCCTCGGAGAGAAACGCTGACCTATAAACATCCATGGCTCTTTGAAACCCTCTGCAACAAACCTAACTTCATAAAACAAAACAAATAAACTGGTTAAAACGGTTAGCTGTGCGCGAATGATTGTTCTACAATGATATGCAAGGGATCAATGAATCTAAGGGTAAAATTTGAGGTACGACAATAACCAATAATTTTTTTAACAAGATGCCAATAACAACTGGACTTGAGGGAGATTAGGCCGTGTAAAATCTATTTATTTGCTTGTATCAAAGTTAGTGGGCACAACCTGTAAAAGCTCAACATTATAGTGAAATTTCAAGATGATCTCTTGAGACAAGACTAAGCCAATGCTTAGCCGAACTTGGATAATTCTCTGGTGTCGTCTTTCTAACTTTTATCTTTTTTAGTTCTTGTTATTTACTTTATTGTTTTATTTTTTGCTACTTTTCTCTATGATCTTAAAGATGCTATCACAATTTTCTTTTTAAGTAATAAACCTTTAAATTTATCATAAATTTTGAAAATAACACAATTCACCTCGTCTTGTGCTTAGAGTCACTTGTCCAACAACATTGCCCTTTCAGTCTGAGACCTATTCATTCTTTCTCTCATACCATTTTGTTGTGGTTTTTTACAAACTAAGAAATGTCTTTGAATACCGGGTTCTTCATTGAGCTTATAAAAATCTGAATCAATGTCCTTTGTCTAATTATTTAATCATAATTACTTGATTTTTCTACCTATTTGATTCTCTACCTCTGCCTTCCACGACTTGAATTAGATAAAGACTTCAGATTTTTGCTTCAAGAAATACACTTAAACCTTGTGAGAAAAATGATTAGTGGAAGTCATAAAATACTAGAAACCACCCATTGGAACCACTTTGTAGACCCTCACACATATGAATGCACATAGTCTAAAATTTCCTTTATTTTATGTTTTCTGGTCTTGAACCGAACACGACACTGTTTTTTAAATATACAATACTTGCACAAACCCATCTTGTATCTATGAACACCCTTCAATAGATTTCATTCATGAAGTTCCATCATCGCATGCTCACTAAAGTGACCTAGACGCATATGCCAGAGTTTGGTTACATCATCATCAGACTCAAATGATGCAACATAACCTATAACAATGTTCCCCAACAATTTGTAGATGTTACCTACAATCCTCTATGCTTTCATCACAGTCAAGGCACTCTTGACAACCTTAACAATGTCCATATATCCATTAGAGTTGTTAGAGAAATCATTTTCGTGTAAAGTACTTAGAAAAATCAACTTCTTCCTCAATCTAGAATCTATCTAACATCGTTCATGTTCGCACGCAGCTATCATCCATGGAAATTTAATTTGTCTCATTTCGATGATAGTGCATACTTTATCATCACCCATATAAACAAATAAAAAAAATACCTAACATGAACATAATGAACTATTCTCAGTGCTACGTCATGTGGTAAGAACAAGCAAAGTTAAGAAACCACGCATCTGAGCACTTGTTGGATGAAACACATAATATATCGGCTTCATTGCTAGAATAATCAGTTAAACCACATTTGTAAAACTGGATAAGCCTGATTTCTGTTTGCACAACCTCTCTTACAATACCCAATTTGTTTGCAACTATAACACTCATATATTTTTCAATTCTTTAATTTATATCTCTTCTTTTCAGAATTTGTTTTACCCTTGTTCTGCCCACGATCTTAACCCCCCTCACATATAGATCGTTGCCTTAAGTCCCTTCCTCTATACTTTGTCTCATTTGAGAATGAGACAAAAGTATAGCAGTAACTACATTAAGAATGATAATATTTTTCCTTTAAGTAAAAGTAGCCACCAAGTGGTCATAAGAACTTGGTAACAAACACAACAAGATAATTGTCTTATCTTCATCATCTGTCTTCGCTCAAAGCTTCACCAAATTGGTGATTATGTTGTTGAAGATATTGCCATACTGTTGCAAATCAAATTCTTCCTATATCTTCAAACTATATAGTTGTTGTTTCGCGAACAATTTGTTCATCAGTGTCTTTGACATATACTGATTCTCTAATATGTCACAAACCTCATTACATGTCGTCAAGTCCAAGATATGATACATCACCTCGTATAAAACACATAAATGAATCAATTTGGCGGCCTTTTCCTTCATCTATACCCAATCGATATCCTTCATATTGTTCGACTTTGTCTCATGCAACGCTTTTTGTAAACTTTTTACTGAGCTAACAAATCTTTAACCCTCCTTTGAGATAATCCAAAATTACTTGTCTCGTCGAACCTTGTTGCTTCAAATTTTGCACTAGAGTTAATCGTCATCTGATACCATCGTTTGAACAACAACCACTACAAAAGATTAAAGAGAAACTAAAGTAAAACACAATGAACACAATGAATCTTTGTTAACCCATTTGGGTCTATGTACTTATCTCAACAACTATAGATTAGTTATAATTCCCATTATTTCTATCTTAGGATTATAATGTTACAAATAATATCTATAACACTAACACTCAATTTACAATAATACCTCTAAAACCCTGCATCCCTTAGTTACCTACCCACAACAAACAATGGGATCTAAAATCCGTTTAACGTTTCCCCATAATATGAGCCATTCTCAACTAAGTACAAAATACATATGAGCCATGCTCAACAAGTACAAAATACTTTAAATGGCTTCCTTTTATTGGTTTTCCGAGAAAACTGAACTAACACCTCAAATGTATATAAGTATCAATATAATACAATGAAGCCAACATAATCTGGTATCATATGTTCCCGTATGTTTTTCAACCCATCATATATAATCATATTACAAAACCAACCATGCCAAGTATATTCTTGTTTGTTTCCACTAACATCATGTATCAAATTCAGAGAATGAGGATTTCCTCTTTTAATTTCACATGCTTATCCAAGAACAGTGACTGAATGAAGAACAATTCATCCACTTTCTTTAAAACTAGAGTTCTTCAATTCATTTAGAAAATGGCTGAAAATCCGAATACACATGTGAGACATTCCTATTATGGAATGGTCCGTGACGCAAACGTTTCAGGCCAAGAGTTCTGATTTCCTGTGAATGTAGGCCCTCTGAGATTAGAATCTCGCTGGAGTCGCCATTCCTTCTCCTTTAGAGACTCCAGCAGAGACTGTGGCTCGTTTCTCAGTTCTGTCGCAGCACCGCACCCAAAAGGGACCGGTTTTTGATAATTGTTGTAGACACTAGCTTTGTATTCTCCTGCACCAAGAAAACCTGGCTGCAACGGTGGGGGACCTGGCGACTCAATATACGTGTACAGGTTATTATAAGGCAAAGGATTGCCCCATCTGTCAAATTGATCAAACCTGTAGGTATTGTCCTGATATAGCAAGTTTGCATGATTTCCAGGACCAGGAGTATTGGTATACATCGGCTGCGTATAATTGTTGCTTTTCTCAGGTTTGTGGTTCTCTCTGTACCAACGCAGCCATTCTGAAGAAGTCATTCGTCCAGGTGGAGGGTATCCACTGATAAAAACCGGGTATCTAGGATCATATCCGGGTGGTCCATAACTAGAACTCCAATCTGGGTAACCACTTGTTTGTGGTGAATTTTCTGAAAATTTTGGAGCAGATAAACTAGGTTGTGCTTGTGCATCAGTAAACCAAGCAACATTTTCAGGTAAAAACGGGGCTGACGGTATTGGAAGAGAATATGTGGTAGAAGAGGCATTGAAGTTTGAAGATTCGTTCTCTGAGCTTACGACTGTACTTTCATTTTTATTGATCGATAAACCTGCCAAAGATGAAGAAGCTATTTCTTCAATAGGCTCCAACCTATGCTCCATAAGACCCTTTGCACCATTTCTCCGACTGTTGCTCAAACTTCCTTCATCAAGCACCCAAGCATTGAGCGATGGAGGACCAGCGGAGATTGGGGCTTCTAAGTAAGTGTGTGCATTTGATTCCCTTGATGAAAGTTCTTGCTGTTTCAATGATTTGTCACTTCTGAATTTCAAACTGCTTCCGTGGTACTCCCACGGATCGCTTTGAGTATGAGCTGGGTTTTGTGCCATAAGAAGAGATGTAGCACGGCGCAAGCAATCATCAGATGGTAGATTTTTGTCATCATTTTCTTTTTGTGATATATGCTCATCAGTTGAGATAGATGGAGACAACGGTGCTGAATTATACCTTGTAAGAGGCCTGAAGAGAATAACTTCTTCTTCTTCCACTATCGAAGGTTTTCCATTAACGATAGAGCTACTTGGATTGTTCTCCGTCATCCTTTTGCATTTTTCACCGGTGCCTTTGCTTGTTTTCTGATTAGCCTCTTCCCCTTTGGTACTATTGGAATTGGATTTTCCAAGTTCCGCTTTTTCCTTGCCATGACATTCATCTGATCTAGCCACGCAAAACCTACTTGCGAGTTCATCATATGTAATCCACTTTTGCGAAGTATTTGACCGGCTAGCAATCTTCATTGCTGCTTTTTTTATGCGCTCGGCTCGCAACTCCATTCCACTTTCAAAATTGTCTCTATGTTCCCAATTACCACAGAAATCTAATGAGAATTGTGCACAAACTATAGGTACAAAACCCCGCAATTCAAAATCCTCCCACAGCGGAACACTATCGAGAAGCTTTTTGGTTTCCTTTCTATTGTCATCTAGTTTATTTAGAAGTTCAACAAACACGTCGAAAAAGTACGAAATGGCTCTTCGACACTTTTGATCAGTTGTACATACCTCAGCTTCATCCAGCACACTAGAAAACCACTCCACAAAAACAAGCACCGAAGGCAATAACGGGCCATGACTCAAAGAACTAGCCTTAAGGCATCTTTCAACGAAATGTCCCATGACAGCAAATCCAGCAGAAAACCCCATCTGCATTAACTGCCTAACGTTTTCATCTTTTGAATCTTCTTGTTGAAGCTTATCCATTAGATTCTTTAGAGAAAATATGATAATACAAACTACTTGTATTGCTCGAAAAGGACCTCTTCTGGCTAAATCCATTTGACTATAAGACTCCAACACAGTTTTTAATTCTTTATCTTCTAGCTTCAAAATTTTATCCAACTCTCCAATTGTAGATGCCAACACAATAGAGAATTCATCAAAACTGATTCAAATGGAGTAAGAACATCAAAACAAAATTCCAAAAAATAAATATAGAACTGAATGAAACGAATTCAAGCCGTACCTTGATGTTATGAAGAGGAAACTTATCATTCTAACCATAAGGGACCATAACTTTGTATTAGTGAAATGATTACTTTCGCCTTCAACTTCAATATAGTTTGAGTCATCATCTTTCACGTGTGCCTTCGTCTCTTCCCCGATGCTTCCAAAACGTTGTAAGAAATCAAAACAGACTTCGCTGGGAACACATTTAAGAGGAGATGACCTGTTCTGCAAGATCAAACATGACACTTGAGAAGGTTGCAAATAAAAGAAGCTCAAAATGTAATTTATTAAAGAACCTTGAGATAATCATCATATCACCTTTTCAAACAGCAATATAAGATTGTTCCAGGCATCCGGAAAAGGTTCTTTAACCGCTAAACTTCTTACACAATGGTATAGAGCAAGAATTTCGTCCCCGATATATGTTGCCAATACAGCCAACTGCAAATGAATAACGATACTGTCACGTGAAAAAAAAAACGCGTAGACAGTAAAAGATTATCGTATGAAACAGATATGAAACATTTACCTGATTTTGGGGGTTACCACTATTAGGCCAAATTCTTGTTGCTTCCAAGTAATGGGTGGCGGCAATAGACCAATTAGGATTCTGAGTATCGGGATTTTCACATTGTTCTTTGTACCTTGCAAGATCGCCCATGCAAACTAAGCAACGATGACATAAATATTTACATTTCAACTTGACTTCTGGTTCAACCGAAGTCGATATCCAACCCTTTTTACGAAACAATGCTTCTTCCGACACTCCATAATGTTTTCTGAGTTTGAGAATTAAATTTTGATAAAACTCCGAAGCCTCTGACAAAAACAACTTAAATCGCTTAAATGGATCGCCATTGCTTCTCTGCACAACACCAGTTTGCTGCATTCCGGATTTGTTACTCTCCGCATCACCCGAGCTTTTCTTTACTATTTTGCGAAACTCATCAATATGCTTATAATGGAGCTTCCACAAAGAATATTCAACATCCTGAAGTTCCGCATAGGTATAATCATTTAACATAACCCTCTCGTAACTAGCCCGGATCTTGCGGTACAAGTCTTGAGCATCCGAGTGCAGAATTCCCTTAGAATGGATCAATGTCCACAACTGCTTTTCACAATTCTCAATCTAAACATTCCACAAAGTTTAAATTTAACAAAACCAAATCAAAATGCTTCTCAAAACCAAATCATAACAAATAATAACAGTTTCACAAAGTTACCTCTAACAGAACTTCAGTACGAACTCCAGAAAAAGATAGATCGGTGGCCATGATCGAAATTGAAGAACTTCCTTCAAATGTAACACATCCACTAGGCACAAACCTGATCTAATAGTAAACATCAAAACACAAAAACAAACTCAATATTCAATTTCAACAAGGTCAATGTCCTATAAGAAAACCAGTATCACAATGAACAATATTTAACCATTAGATTATTAAGTTTAAAATGAATAAAATACAATTAAGCTCGTCGATAGCCCGAATACCAAAAACATTAGTAAAACATCAATAACAAGTGAGCCTTATCCGACTAAGCAGGGTTGGCTACATGGATCAACTTCCGCCCAGACCATAAACAACACTATGAGGTTTTGGATTTGCAAGTTTCCGAAAACACACCAATATGAGAATAAAGAAAACAAACAAATTCAGTTAAACAAATAAGGACAGAGAGCATAAGCCAAAGAAAAAGATGTAGTTAAATGCAGTGAGAGAGTGAAATAGGAGAATTGATGAAAAGGATTACCTAAGGAATTGTTGAGTGAAGAGCAGTTGAGATAGATGGAAGCGGGGAAGGGAAAAAGGAAGAAGAATTGGAGCAGGAGGAAGAGTAGTGAAGATGTGAAAGAGAGAAAGGAAAAGGTATGATTATGGAGTTATGATGAGCCTGAAACTGAATACAAGACAAAATGCTCTTAAACCCGTTTATTTTGGCTTTTTACATAAATATTTTCTGTTACTGTTGGATAATAATAATAATAATAATAATAATAATAATAATAATAATAATAATAATAATAATAATAATAATAATAATAATAATAATAGGAATTAAATTCAGTCCTGATCTGGTAGCCCCTGAAAAATCTTTGTTATTACTTATTTCTCTCTCTAAAATAAAATAAATATAGTTGTATGATAGTATCAAATATAAACACGGGTACACAAAAGCGATTTAGATTTTTTTTTTATAAATTTAATTCGAGGTTTTGAGTTTGAATTTAGATTTAAGTAGTAGGATGTAATTGATTTAGTTTGGGTTGATTTTATAAAAAAATGTTTGAACCGATGATATTTTTTTTTATTTGATTTGGTTTGATTTTTAATGTTTAAAAAAAAACCGAATCAAACTAATTGGTTTGATTTGATATGGGTTGGTACAATTGATTGATTTAAAGTACATTTTTTCAAACATTATATTTATCAGTCTATTCTCCACTATTATGTTTTTGATGTATTTTATGTTATTACTAGTATTTTTGAAAATAATACATTTCATGTAATTTATTTCATGCTCTATTTTTCACACAAACTACAAGTTGTTCTTAGTTCATACGAAATAGTGACATGATTCTATATTATTTCTCCTCACTAATTGGTACAAGTTTTTCTATAAATAGAGATACTTGTTAGGCATAAAATATACACAAAAATTATTTGTTTCAAATGCCAAAAATTATATCTAAATCATTTTTATTTTATTTTTCTAGTGCACAAGAATACATAATGGAACTTTATTCTGCAAAATATCGTTGATCGATATGCTTAATGTGAATGTACGATTCATGTTAAGGTTTCCAAAGTATCCTGAAGGGGATTCGCCGTTAACCCTTTTGCATCTAATTTGCATAAATTGGTGGAGACAAATCGAACCTAAAGTGTTTTGCAGCAAACCCCCAACAATTGATCGATATGCTTATTTTGTGCAACTTTTATCGTATCATTTTCATCTTCTTCTTTTTCATATTTTACAGCAAACCCCCAACACAAGATATAACAAGAAGCAATGGACTGCCCACAGCAATTATCGTTCCACAAATGAATTTTATGTCCCTTACCAATTGTCCACATTGAATGCTCCAAAAGAATAGGAAAAATGTTTTGGACTGGGCCAAGGCCTGCCCTTCCGCTGGGCAGGCCCAACCCAAGGCTACTGTGATAAGGCCCAACAAGGTCCAATTTCCTACGTCGGAGAGGAGCCTTAACAAGACACCTCTCCCAGGTAAAAGACCTCTGGATGGGGAGGCTCAAACGCTTTCCCCACGTTCTCCACATGTCCCCACACGGGGATATGTCATCAGGTAACTACCCACTTCCGAAAGAGATGGTCAGCCCACCTTTCGAAGATCACGAGACAGTTGATCCATAGCGAAGACCACGTGCTGGTCTTCATTACGCTACGTGAGCCCTAGAAGTTACTTGTGTTGAGCTTGGCCATCCAGCCCAATGCAATGTAACCGTTGGCCCTGCGTTGGGGGCACATTATAAATACCCTCTTTCACTAGAGGGTCAGGTATTCTATTCTCCACACCTTTTCTCTGCACTTGCTCTCTCTAGTTTTGATACTTACTTAGGCATCAGAGCATTTTGCAGGTACACCCCCCCTTTTCTCCTCCACAACTCTGGTGAAGGCAGCAGATCACGACGCGTGGCAGATCACTGGCACCTTTCTAATCAGGTGAGATCAAAAAGCCTCCTTACAACCCGTCTAAATAGAAAAGAAAACATGAGTCCGACGCATTCGACCATTCCTTAAAACTCTAGATTTAACAATAGTTGCCCAAGAGCCAGTTTCATTCGCAATGTTCAAGCATTGCACCAGGCGATTATCTTCATTTGTAGCCCTTAATGAACGTATGCCCATCCCCCCGTCCTTGATATCTTGACCATAAGAATTTCACACAACCGCTGCCAGCTTCCTCTGATGGATATCGTCGCTCCATATAAAGTTGCGGAACCAAGTTTCTATTTGATTTAATAAGTTGACAGACCAAGAATAAATTCTGAACGAATAAAGCAACATGTTGTGAATGACATAAATTACCAATTGAACGCAACCAGCAATATACAACAAAATAGCCTTCCAAATAGCCAATTTAATCCTAATATTATCATCAACAAGCTGAAAATACGAGGCCTTACGCCACCCTTTGAAAATAGGTACCCCAAGGCAAGTAAAAAGAAGCGGCCCTTTCTTGAAACCAAATTTGTTGGCCAAGAAACCATGCCTATCAGCTGGCATCGAACCAACAAACATGATGGATTTGACCGGGTTACAAATTTGAACAGAACAAATTGCATACCTTTGAAATAACTCTGCAATAGCTTCCAAGAATGAAGAACAACCCTGCGTAAACAACATTATGTCATTTGCGTATAACATGTGAGAAGGGAACAACACATTCCTGCAAGATTTAATACATTTCAACTGATTGTTTGCAACCAAAACGGAAAGCCCTCTGCTAAGAACATCCTCTGCTAGACAGAAAACAAGCGAAGATAACGGATCCCCCTGACGAACTCCCTTCTTGCAACAAAAATGTCCCCTAAGGTCACCATTGATAGAGACAAAAACCTTAGCCGATTCCAGAATCAAACTAATCCAAGAGCAGAACTTCTCGTTGAACTCAAATTGCTTAAGGACTTTGAGAAGGAACTTCCAATCAAGAGTATCGAATGCCTTGTATATGTCTACTTTTAGCATAACATTACCACGTAAAGACTTTTTGTGAATTACATTTGCCACCTCAGATGTGAGACATATACAATCCTTGATGCTACGACCATGAATGAACCCCTTTTGTTCAGTGGAGATAATATGAGAAAGCACACTAGCCAGCCTATCTGCTATGATCTTTGAAATAATTTTGAATTTGAAGTTCACAAGGGAGATAGGTTTGTATTGTTCTATGTAATCATCTTCTTTAACTTTAGGAATTAGCACCAATGTGTTGGAATTGTAGTTGGGGACTAATCATCCATCCGTAAAAAAAACTACAAAGTGGCTTTGATGAGGTCTTCTTTAATGATGTTCCATAAAGTTTGATAGAATATGGGACTGAAACCATTGGGGTCTGTTGCACTGTCACGCTTAAGATTAAACATTGCACTACATATTCTTCATCAGAGGGATTGAAGTTAACAGTGAGTTGTTTTGTTCCAACAATAATCTAGGAATGGCCTCCTCCACGAGCGAATTATTTTGCAAAACAACATATTTGTTAAATAAATTCTCAAAATGAGAAACGTGGTCTGCGATTTGCTCATGATTGTTGATGAAATTCAAACTTAGTTAGTTACTACTTGTGTATATATAATGATTACTTGTGTAGTTTTGTGATACTAACTATTTTCTACTAACAAACATTTTCTCTCATTCAATATTTATCACTCTCTCTTCTTCCCTTCCTCTCTAACACTCTCTCTATCTTTCTTTCAATTAAACTTCCGCATTCGTAAGATGTACTAACACCAACAACTTTCACACAAATTAAAAAAATGCGAGAGAGAATATTGATTTTATTAAATTATTCTTATCAATTATTGATGTATTCAAAATATTATTATTAATGTACAATGAAAAAATAATAAATGAAAAGTATGAATTAGATTGTTCAATTGAAAACATAAAAACTAAAATGGTGATGTTAAGAATTGGATATTAGCTGGCTTACTATTGGTAAAATTAGAAAGAATTAAAACAGCATAATCATAATACAGGAAATTAAAATTGAAACAAAAACCCAAATAGATGACTTGTAAACCAAGACAATGATAACTCTTATGCATAATCATATTAAAGGTCAAAAGCGTTTAAAATAATAATGTTTGAAAAAAACATTAAGTTGAGGTTGTATAATAAATATAATATTACTAGTATATATATTATAAAAAGAAATCCCAGTCTTAGACGTAAAGTATTTCTAGAAATTCATATGGTTATCCGATCAACTTTCACTAAAGCTCATAATTAAATTCATAACTGTAAACGAAAAAAGAAACTCTGCATTTTAACCAATCTACAAATATGACAAAGAGGGCTCCAACTATGACGTCATATAATAAATGAACTTTTAATTTTTAACTAAAGAAGATTATTTTATGTTATTTTATATTTATCATTTATTCAAATGGTTAATTTATCAAAAAAATTAATTAATTAATTATCTCCACAATAAATTATTAATAATTAATTATAAATTATCAATTAATTTTAAATTAGCTGTCGTTAAGAGTCTCTCGTGATATCCCATACAAAATCTCTAGTA